TGCAGTACATTAAAGTAGAGTGTATATATATATATATATTATATATTATATATTATATATATTATATATTTATATATTATAAATTATATATTTATATATTATATATATATATATATATATATATATATTATATTATATATTATATAAATTATATAAATTATATATTTATATATTATATTATATATATTATATATATATATATATATATATATATATATATATATATATATATATATATATATATATATATATATATATATATATATATATATATATATATATATATATATATATATATATATATATATATATATATATATATATATATATATATATATATATATATATATATATATATATATATATATATATATATATATATATATATATATATATATATATATGATATATATTTATATTATATATATTATATATGATATTATATAATATATAAATATATAATTTATAATATATAAATATATGATATATAATATATAATATATATATATAATCATTGGACCGCCTCGGTTATCCGAACTTCCATGTCCCTGGACAAAACGTTCGGACAAACGAGGTTTCTACCGTGCTTCGAACAGAGGCGGAAAATCTGTGTTTTGCACGATCACATATCCGTGATCCCCTAATAAAGTAGGAATCAATGTCGCGTCGCGTCGCAAAGAAACGAGTCCAGATCACGGGAGAGAAATCGCGGCCGATAAGATTGTTGCAAAACGGTCGTAACAGTGGCTTAATTGTGGTGAACGTGTTCGCAGATTCTGGGTCCGAGAGCGGATCGCACAAAGCGAGCGTGGGTGGTAACCGAGGATCAGGCAGCCATAAGAGCAGCGGCGGTTCCGATGGAAAGCCGACCAGGGTCCGCACGGTTCTTAACGAGAAGCAGCTTCACACTTTGAGGACTTGTTACGCGGCAAATCCGCGGCCGGACGCGCTGATGAAGGAACAGCTGGTGGAAATGACGGGCCTGAGTCCGCGAGTGATCAGGGTATGGTTCCAGAACAAGCGTTGCAAGGACAAGAAGAAGACGATCGCGATGAAGCAGCAAATGCAGGAGAAGGTGAGCAGAGAATTCTGGAAATTCGGCGATTTTTAACCCTTTGCGGTCGAAGCTATTCGAATTCGAAATCCAAAACATGATTTCTGATCTACAGTAGTTCTATTTTATATAATTTATTGCGACTTATGCACATGAAATTGAGCCTGTTGACGAGTACAATGCAATTTTAATAGTTTCTTTTCAAGTAGAAACGAGTCCGATGCGCTTAGAATGATTTTGAAAAATGGTACACCAATTTTTAGTGGCGCCTCGGAGTCGCCATTCGAGTGCAAAGGGTTAATGTGCAACGGTGATTTTTCTTTCGTTAACGCGTTGAATGCCACGGGGGCCACCGGTGACCGGCACTTAACTTGGCGCCATGGGGGCCACCGGTAACCGGCGCGCCCAAATTGATAGAAATATTGGGTTGGCAACTAAGTAATTGACGATTTGTTCAATGAAACAAGAAATTTTTTTTTACTTGGAATGAAGTTTAATCTGTAATGTATTTTCCATCTTGTTCGATGACCTTTTGCCATCTCTCCGACAACTTGAAAATTCCACGCTCGTAGAAAGTCTGATCCTTTTCGGCCAAAAACTGAGTTAAATGAGATTTTACAGCGTCGTCATCGTTAAAAGTTTTACCACGAAGGGAGTTGTCCAGGGATCGAAATAAGTGGTAATCCGATGGCGCGAGATCAGGGCTATATGGCGGGTGTAACATCAATTCCCAAGCAATATCCATCAATTTTTGCCGAGTGGACAAAGACGGCGGCCTAGCATTGTCCTGCTGGAAAATGACACCTTTACGATCGACCAATTCTGGTCGCTTTTCCTTGACCGCTGCATTCAATTTGTCCAGTTGCTAATATTCACGGATAATAAAAAATAACATAATAATAATAAT